TCTATTCGTTGTCTGTCCTGGAAGTTAGGATCACTCGAAAAATGATCTTTTGAGGCTGGGTCAAGGCCAGAATAGGTGGATCCAGGGCCAGGATGTGCGGAGTTAACATGCGCTGAGCTGAGCCCATTCATGGTGGGTGGAACTGCGGTGTTGTGAAGGAAGTTTTTTATTTCCGGCTCCTGAACATCGAGATGGCCCGAAAAAAGGGCGGTTCCGCGAATGAGAGAGCCCTTTTCGAGTACCCCAGGATCACATTAGGTGTGAAGCTTGAACACGAATTCGAATATATTGGTGCGATGTGAGAAAAGGGAAAACGAATCCGTCGGTTAGGGCTTTTTCGGATTCGTAATCCGCTCTGCTGAGACAATGAGGGACTAAGCCCGAAGAGGAGATGTGACGGAGCACGACCGATGAGAGATCGCCAACCGAAGAAACTGAAAAAGGCAGCTCGTCTACTTTTTTGTAAGGCTCGTATGAACACCTTGAGGTAAATCATAGGTATGTAATACCTACGATTTACCTCAAGGTGTTCATCCTAAAGGGATCGTGAACACGACCTCTGTCTGGGTTGTGCCTTCAGAGGGCTCTTTACAACGGAAATCTCTCATGAAACTATAGGACTACCTACAGACCAGGCAGATATGGTAGAGATGGACAGTGTTCGAAGCTTGTCGAGCACACGTACAATAAGCGGAGCAACAACAATGGGCGGGGCGTGCCCTCAGCTGGGAGGTGCGTGCTACAAAATTTGACAACCGCCTTCTAGAACATTACAGAGACCGGAGAAAATTGATAGAGACTAATAAAGGGAAAGAAATCAAAATGGTCAGGCGTGCATCGAAGTTGGCTAGGCCAAAATCCGACATGCGCCACATATCTTACGAAGCCACAGTCGCGCAATGGCTTCAGCCGATCACTTCGGCGAGTACCCTCGAGGGAAAGGAGGTGTCGTTCAATTCAAAAGGTATGAAGTACTATACTTTACTATGCTACTAACGAAAAGGCGCCTGCAAGACTGATACAAAAAAAATCGCCAATTTTGTCGTACAGCATTTTTTCAGGTTTGCAAAAAAAGCGTACCGATTTAATTGACTGTTGAGTCAACAGATTGAACGCAACCAATTACTTTCGGTCCTCACAGGTCTGAAAATGTCAGTGCTTTACTTCTCAAAGGATTATTTCTTACAAAACAATTGTAAGTCCCGGAATTGTGCATGAGAACTCAAAAAAATTATGATAAGGTCGAGCTTTGAAGAAAAGGAGGTATACCTAGTTAAGAGGCAGGCGGGCCACCGAAGGGTGCGGAACTGTGCGCGTTTCTCACGAAGAAGATAACCCATAGGGCCCATCAAGGCTGTACCCGTGCCGCTAGTGCCGCTGCACGGGTATACGTCAGAATCGTCCGGATCCTCACGCTTAGCAGCAGCCAATCGATGGGAATACAGTGTCTATCTCGTAGAGAGGAGTGAGGGAAGCACAAAAAGGTGGAGCGGACGAGTTAGCACGTAGCGAAATCCAAAAATTTTCAAAGTGAGTTTTAGCTTTAATTCATGTGTTATCGACAAGGGCTCACGCATCTCGCCATTCCATTAGTAGCCAAAATATGAGCTTCTGGGTGCTGCTTTAACACTTTGACGACAGCGCGGCAACTATGTATGCCGCCATTTTGCACCTCATGGACATTGTGGCAACTATGTATGCCACACCCTTACATTTATTTTTTGCGCACATGCTCGATTTCTTCCCAGGTTTTTTGTGTTCATTTTATAGGCATACATCAACATAACCAAGAACCACGTGGCTTACAGAATGACCAAATATTCTTTAGTTTGGCAGAGGTTTTCCGGACCTTACGAAAATATCCGTTCAATTCATTCCTCATTTTCTTTTCATTAACGCGAACATGTAATAAAAAAGAATAATAGAAGTGAATACAAACTATCGTGTGGCAAGATATGTGTTTTTACTGAAACAACCACGTCCAAATTAATTCTGGAACCACTAAAGGAAAAGTAAGTAAAATTTGCCTTTTGCACTAGTTTAGTTTATTACATGCTCCTTAGAACATGTTATAATATCAATGATAAAAATACACAAAACTCAACTACACACAACTGAAATCACTAACTATGAGTGGCGCAAAAAAATGCAGTGTTACAAACGAACATTTAGAACAGAAATAGACACAACTAAAAACAGCATGGAAGTTACTAACAACTAGCTGAGATTCTTGTGGAACTGGGAGATTTCTCGCCTAAAAGAAGATAGCTTGACTGGAGGCCGAGTACGCTTGCTTAGTTTGACATACTCTGTGCCAGCCCTTTGAGCAAAGAACTGTCGCCCGAGTGCAGACTTAACCGGTCTAAGGCAAAGTTTGTTGTGAATCCCCCTTGTAGTAGACGGCATAAAGGAGAACATATCTGTGACATCAATGGACATTGAGCCATGTATAATTTTATGCACAGTAATTAAATCATTAAATAATCGTCTTTTCTCAAGAGAATCCAGATTCAACATTTTGCTCCTAACAGAAGCTCGTGGAATACTTTTATAAGTGTAACCAAGCGCTCTTATAAATACCTTCCTCGTGAAGCTGTTTTGAACCCGTTCAATACTGCGAATAATCTTCTTCTTATGTGGAAAGAAAATCACAGTTCCATATTCAACCATAGGTCTAACGTACATCTTGAAGGCTTTAATCAAAATAGAAGGATCTTTACTTTTTAACGATTTGAGGAGAAGAAAAAGCCTGGCCTCGGCTTTCGAAGCAGTATTAAGACAGTGAGAGTCGAAGCTAAGAGTATTCTCAAAAAGAAATCCGAGGTCCTAAATTTCAGAAACTTCTTCAATGGATGATCCAGAGATGTGATAATTATTTTTAACATTATTTTTGCCTAAGTGCAATACCTTAGTTTTTTTCTAGCGAAATTGGGAGACCCCAAGTTTCAGACCAACTATACACAGCATCTACTGCCCTCTGAATCGACAGATAATCATCAGGGGACTTGACTTGCTTATAAACTTTAATATCGTCAGCAAACATCATACACTTAGCACCATGGGCCTCTACTAGAGAGGGAAGATCAAACGCGAAGATATTAAACAAAATAGGCGACAAAACCCCTCCTTGGGCACCCCACTACTAGCAGATCTGACTGATGAAAAGGAATCATTAACCCGCACTTGGACTGAAATGTGCGATCAACTAAGAAGGCTTTAATCCAGCGTACAATTGTGGGATGCACGCCCACCTGTTCGAGTTTGGCTACTAACTTGGCATGACACACCTTATCAAACGCTTTGGAGAAATCAAAGTAGATGATGTCCACGCACAATTTTTTATCAATGGCAGCAATCCAATCACTAAGGGACAATAACATTTGTGAGACTGTAGATCGTCCTTTTCGAAATCCGTGTTGACAATCAGGCAAAATACTACCATTTTCAAGATGGTTAACAATGGCCGTTTTCAGAGTTTTTTCGAATAGTCTGCAGAAGACCGAGGTTATACTTATCGGCCTGTAATTTCCAAGGGGTTATTCAATGCCTTCTTTTTGGGAAAAGGCAACACTAAGGCATGTTTAAATCTCATAGGACAGCATAAAGCAAGCTTCGATTAAATAGAAATTCTAGAGGACGAACAATGTAAGGTGCAACATTTTGATGAACGAAAGAGGGATGCCACCTGGCGTAAAGGAAACACTTGAAGGCCACTTAAGGAGACAATTCAAAATGTCATCACTTACAAAAAGCACAGATTCCCTCATACAATCAAAAAATCTCGGCAGGCTAGTTACAGGCACTGGCAGCGACCTGACCGTGACTGATGTATATATGTCTTTGTGGAATACGTTCGCCAAACGTTCAGCCTATCGAAGCTAGTAGTGGGATCTAGGCAAGAGAACCATCACTTTTGACAAGTGTACATATTTTTCTCTCCGAACGGATTCTTGCTCGAATATAGTTAAGAAGATAGGATTTGTGTGCATATGACTCAACTATTTTTTTTCTACTGCACACAATTGTATTTGAAAAGTCTCTTCTCAAACTTTGTAGACATTTCTTGATACCCCTTCCAATCCTGCTCGTTATTGCTTCTCATGGCTTTTTTATAAGCTATGGTTTTGCTTACGAAAAGAGTATAGAGGTGCGCAGGTAAATTTTTGATGGAGGATAGCGAGACTTTCCTAACCGGCACAAACAGCTGAATGCAATGGTTTAGAAAATATGAACAACTCATACATCTCATTGGTGTCTTTGCAGCAGCCAAAAGATCCTAACCAATCAATATTCCGAAGATAAGAAACAACATCATCATAGTTGGTGTTCCTGTAGTCTCTTCGGAATACAAACTTAGTCTCATTGGATAGAGCCTTGAAGCTAAAAGTGATTGTTGCATGATCGCTGCGACTGATTTTGTAGCGAACGATTAAGAGAAGCACCGATGGCAATGTCACTTATAGCATGTTTGTTATTGCAAAGGACTAAATCGAGCACATTTTTTTTCCTGGTACAGAAAATCAACATACTGAACATAGTTGTGAGGTTAAGAGCATGTTCAAGAAGGAGCGCGACAAAGCGGTTTTAGCACAGGGATTACTAGACCATTCAATGTCTGAGAAATTAAAGTCACCCATCAAAAGACAGGAAGACTGACAAATAGATAGATCACTTATACATTTGCTCAATGCTTTAGTCAGAACAAGATGCAGTTAGGGGCTCTGTAGACTACAATCAGGCGATAAGAAATATCTAAAGTGAAAAAAAATCGGCAGCAACGATCTCATAACCGTCAGCCACACTTTCGCTGAAAACGAGGGTAGGACAAAAAGACTGCTTAACCAAGAGAAGAACCCCACCACCTTTTTTCCTTTTTCTGTCGCATCTGAATAAATTGTAAAAAGAACAAAGCTCCCCTAAGAGAGACTGCACTGTAACCTTAGACTTCAGCCAAGTCTCACAAATAGCAACAATACCAAACTCAAACCTCGACACAGAGTACGCCAACGAATTGGAATTTTTTTGAAGGGACCGTATGTTAGTAACAAGGCAAGAAATCCCAATCCGCGGAACAACTAGTTGTTTTCCGAAATAGCGAGAGGATTCTGAGGATGAGGATTTTGGGGTGACGAGACAATTCCATCATGAACATCAACAGCATTCAGAGGGGAAACATTCATGGGCGACGTAACAGTCATATCATTGGCATCAACTTCATTAGATGACGTGATAGTAGCAAGCCTTTTCTTCTCCTCGCGAATAGCCCTGAGACGATCCCTCTCAGCCTTGGGGAGCGAAGGACGTATATAAACTCCCCCAGTCTGATAAGTTTTCAGTCTTGGGGCTCTTTCGAGGAGCACACGCCTAAAGTACCTACTTGGAAGAACAACTTTGATGAGCCGGGGGGACTTTTCATTTGGCTTACCCATTCTATAGGACGTTATTGGAGTGCAATCGATAGAAAGGAAGTCAAACAATTTACGAATACATTCCGCATCATGAGCAATACGATTGAGTGAAGAAGGGTCCTTAGACTCCTCAATTCCAATAACAACAACGGATCTTAGTCTCTCTCTCCTCACAACAATGAAAAGGTGAACGCAAATCAGAACGAGCAAAAGATTTAGTAACAGGTGAATTCTCCCTACTGTTGGCAAGAGATTGTTTCAAAAACTCCACTTCCTTCAAAAGTCGGTTTTTTTCGGCAACCTCAGCGCTGAGGCGCTCCTCCAATTCCCTGTTTCGTTCCACCAGTTGATCGACAAAAGATACTTTTTCCAAAAGGTGACCAAGAATTGTTTTCAGGTGCGCCGGTAGTTTGTCGTCAGTGACAAGGAGGTTCACAGCATCAGAAAGGGCGCTCCCGTTCGTCCCCGGAGACTCGGTCCGGGTCCTCTTAACACCCTGAATCGACAGCGAAGAGCGAGGAGTAAACATCAGAAAAGAAAAAAATTTCAACGTAAAATTCTCCCAATGCACCGTTTGTGGTGGCAATTCGAAAGGAATGTTGATCTCTGCCACTAAGATCAAACGCTGAGAACAATCGATAGAAATTGAACGGTGGTGCACCGGAAGATCGATCGACAAAAACCGTTGAAACGACCTGTAGCGGTGGCTTAGAATAGGAAACAGCACTAAGTGACCCCGCCACAAGGGTTCAGGCAGAAAACATGCAGCAGACGCAGCTAATATCAGTCGGAATACAGAAAGTCGGATGAGACAGTTTTAGCCGACTTGGTGACAGAGCTGCTCGCGATCCGACCGCTCGGCGCCAGGACACCCGAATCATGAATCATTTTTGCGGGCTTAACACGTCATTTCGGTCGAACTTCCATTACTGTAACTCCCGATAAGTTAGACAGATCGAACATTATTGAAAACATTCATCGCATCTAAGTATTGCGTATTTACAGCTCAAAATCCATGGATTTGGTGTGCGGCGGCGGCGCTCGCAAAATCGCTCTGGTCCCACGCGGTGCAAAAACCCAAAACGCGCGATGTCGTCAACGTGTTAAAGAAGCTTCCTAGACTTAGCTTCCTTAGACTACGACTTTTTTAGAAACAAGTTATCAATGTGTTTTGTGTAGTAACAGTCGCTCCTAGCAACAACTAATCATCTGTAGAAATTTGGCTGACGCGCGCTGGGTTTGAGCTGGGATTCGATCCAGAGACCATATGCGCGGCAGTGGCCCCTCCTGTCACCACACCATCTCCGCTCGAATGAGCATTTTTGAACAGTTCAAATACCATTCAACAAATACACATTTATCACATCTCATTCGTGGAACAAGGCAATGTCCGGTTGGGAACGCACTTGAAAAGAATTGCAAGCCGCACTTTGTAGAAGTGCTGCTCCCCTGCCTACAGGCTGCGCCCACCGGCTGCTTCTCCTCTAACGAATTTTCGCTGGTTTTTATGCTCGAAAGCTGCGTCATCATAGGAGTGTTCTACTACCACTTCCGCATCAAACGAACTGACAAAACTCCGGAGGTTGGAATTTCCAACGCAGTCGTAAAACGCTGTCGTCCTCTAACTGGCTTGCGGCCGATAAAAACCTCCATCCGTCATCGGTTTGCTTATGTTTCACAATAATTGAGGGAAATATTAGAACCATTAACACAAAGAGTGTGAGACTCGAAAACTACCTTTTCGGGAGCTGTGCACACTGCCCAGTGACCTGTGGAACGACTTGCTTATCAACTTATCCAGCGTAACTCGCTTAGACTTCTGATACTTCGCTGACAGAGTAAGAATTACCAAGTTTCTAGTTGTGCACAATTCCGCCATAAAGCGGGCCCTCCGATCTCAATAAGTGCCAAAACTGTGGTAGTGACTTTGACTACGGAAGTGGGACACATGTGTACCACCAGTAGTCAAAGATTAACTTACGCAGGATGACTCGCTTTAGCTTCTGACGATTAATGTCATAGTAAGAATTAGAAAGCTTCTATATGTGCACAATTCAGCCATCAAATGAGCGCTCCTGCCTCAATATTCCTGAAACTGTGGTAGTGTCTTTGACTACCAAGTGGGACACATGTGTCCCACCAGTAGTCAAAGGGTTAACCATTGAATTTGGAACCTCATGAGCAAAACATGCAACTTCATGAGCGGGGCCACTCCGATCGCGGCATAATATAGTCTTAGCCCTTTGATCATCTTGTGCTCTGTACGTCCATCGACTGTTTACTTAAATGAGCGGGTAGAGACCTCATTTAACTATTATTTTACTCGTAAACTACAGTTGAAGTGCGAGGAAGGTTCGGGGAGAAAAATCAAAAAGCAGTTGAGAAGATACTGAAAAAATTCCTCGTGATGCCGGGTCTGGTACGATGGAGAGACATAGCGCTGCGAAGAGAGGGAAGAGGCGATAGAGTACGTCATCCTCGAGAGGGCGCAAACAACACGTATGCCACGATTGGTAGCACGGCAGTATTCAAGGCAAGACCTTAGCGCCGTAGCATTGCGTCAGTGGCGGGCCTCCTGTGTCTGGGAACCGCTCTTCCTCACTCTAACTGAGACTATTTCTTGGCACCTATTCCCGACCCATGGTTTTAAGCTGGTGAAAACTTGCCGTCAGATGCTAGCCGTTTTAACAGAGAGGCATTGCAGAGCGTTCTCTCTGAAGAAGCCAGAACCAATAAGACACGATAGCACGAAAACCTGCGAGGGAAAAGGGTTCCAATCTGCGAGTTTCATGTCGCTCCCCTTAGTATTTCCTTACTAACGCACCTGTAAGCACTCCACCTTTATTTCCGACAGCAGTAACATTTATATTATCATCTGCCGTTGATGCTTCCTCCACTAATAATGCTCTCCAACGATAAACGCGTGAACCGCGACAAGGTCATTGCGCTTCCCACCCAGAGAGAAAAACTCCCATTCACATCAGATCTTGTTTCGAAGCGTGTCGACAATCGTTGGGCGGGCGATCATCCCCGACTGTGGTGAGATTTCAAGCTATTTCACTATAAAGGGCCGGCGATCAGCACGATTACACCAAAACTAGCTGCGTTGTCATCTCGAAACAGGATCCTATTCGATTTCCATTTTCTCATCATCGATTTTGCACTCCTGTTTTTCGGAAGTGCATCCCGTTTCGCATCTTTTGTAGTTTCGA